GCAAAATTTCATATACCACAAAAAGATAATATTAATTCAAGCACTTTAGGAAAATTCCCCAAATCCATCTTCTTCTCCTGATAACATTATAGAGGTTTTTGATATACTGATATTTTTCAGCCTACGACTTACTAGCAATGCAATTTATGACACAGTCATGATAAATCATTTTCCCCATAAGCCCAAAACTTGTCTATCTTAAACTCCCACCCACAGTAGTGTTAAAGATTTACAAAGCATGGAGAAAATTAGACCCATCTAGCATCTAGCCACCATGTTTCCACAATATGGACCTTCAATATGTTTTAGAGGAAGACATTGAGGTATGTAACTGATTCGTCTATTTGACTAATTCTGGTTAGTCTATTTGAGCCATTTAGAGAGTCAAAGAGATGAGCCCATTTATTTCTGGTTCCAGAAAATTCTTCTGTGACTTGTTTTTATAGATCATGATAGGCAAAGAAAGCCCTGGGCCATGGGCTATGGGAATAATGACAACTAAGACAGTGTCCCTCCTCCTTCCTTTAGAAGATAAACTCCAGAGGTCAGGGTCTATGTGATTCATTGAGACACTCTCATACACACTCAATAAAGAGGTGTGAAGCCAATGGGGGATGGTGGGGAGTAGGAGGTGTGGACATTAGTGTATGCAAGTGCCAGCAACTACATCACAAAAAGGTGGGAGACTGCCGTGCTCAGTATAAACTAACTAGGTCTACAGTCAGCATTGTGTTCTAAAGAAAACCACTGTCACTGGAAAAACCCATACGCAATATTGAAGAGAAGTCCAGAGACATCTCCAGAGCATTTTCATGAAATTCTTTGAGGCAACAGTCTAGAAGTGTCATTCATTAAACATACACTGAGTACTTTCTTTCTGAAAGGTGTGTGCGGAGTACTTGATGGATTCAGAGGAATGCTCTGCCTTCCAGGAGTTGTCAAGCACTGGGGGCTGGAAGGCAGGTTCAGAGCCGCTATGGTGAATGTATGTATGGCTTCTGTGTGACTTGTGAGTGGTACTGAAGAACGTTGCAGCTGCGAACCCAAGAGCTGTAATAGAACGATTAAGAGTTTGAACTTTAAAATACACTCAGGAACAGGCAAGAGTAATATGCCATGGACATGAATTAACCTTGAAGACAGAGATGATGTGTGAACTTGCCTTACTCATTCTGTTGCAGCCACTCTCACATCTTTGCGTTTGCCTCCAGCATATGGGATATGCACCCCCAGGGCCTTTGCACTTGCGGTTTACTCTGCTTGGCACATTTTCCCCCAGATATCTGCAGGCTCCCTCCCTTACCTCCATCAGCCTTTATTGTAGTGTCACCTTTGCAGGGAGACTTTGCTAATCTCTTTATTTGATATTAAAGCTTCCATGCTCTAAGCACCTAGGTGGCTCAGTTGGTTGGTTAAGCATCGGTCTTCGGCTCAGGTCTGATCTCAGGGTCCTGGGATCAGAGTCCAGCATGGGGTATCCGGCTCCCTGCTCAGCGAGGAGTCTGCTTCTCCCTCTGCCACTTGCCCCGCTCCTGCCATTCTCTTTCTCTCATTCACTTTCTCTCTCTCAAATAAATAAATAAATAAATAAATAAATAAATAAATAAAATCTTAAAAAATTACTGAAAATATTTCTACGCTCATCCCTTGTTTGCTTTCTTGCTCTTAACAGCACTTATCTCTATCTTCAGTACCCTATGTTTTATTTATTTATTTATTTATTTATTTATTTATTTATTTATTTATCAATATCCCTGCTAAAATATAAGCTCGATGAAGGTTGGATTTGTCTGTTTCTTCACCTAGAACATTGCCTAGACTGTAATAGGCACTGATCAAATATTTTTGGAATGAATGAATAGGACTTGCATCAAGAAAAGTACATTCTACAGGTCTATATGCCAAGTACTGACAAAAATGTTTAGTAAAATCTGTCACATCTTTGACGATATGCAGAAAATACATTCATGTAGGGGCAGGGATGGGGAGGATATTCATTTTCTTGGCCTAATGTTTCTATGCAAAGGGTCTTCTGTTGGAGTAACTTGTCTTTCTTCCCATGCCTTCTCCTGCAGCTTTCTTAAGTTTGATTGACATTACTGAGCATGCTCAGCTCAATGCCTTCTTGGATTCTCTTTTCCTTGGAGGATGCCACGAGATATTTGCACTCTGGTCTGCTCATTCATGCACTACACTGGGAGTAGGCCTTTTGCTATCCTGCTCTACTGGCGATTGTGTGGGTGTCTCTCTCATTCAAGGGTGAAGTACTGGGGAGATTTCTGGGCCTCTAATCTAAAGCCACATTCTCTCACCATCTGTCCTGGGTCTGTTTTTCCATCGATTCCAAATTCAGAAGGTGGTCAAAAGGATAAAAAGGATACCATATATTGACTCCTTAACAGCTACAACAGGAAGATATCCATCAAGATGGAAAGATTACAGCTAAGGAGGTGGTTGACATGGCAGCATGAGGCATTCCAGAGGAAAGAGTCTGGGACAGCACAATTTTATTGCAAGACTTGGCTCTGCCTTTTGTGACATTTGCCATGCTTTGCAATATCAATGGTATTTTACATGAGCTGGAATTAATATAAGAGAACTGAGCACTACCTACGAGTCCTGGAATGCAGCAATTCTGCCAGTACCATGCAACTCAATCACCTATGGGACTTATGTGAAGTGTTAGCACAGGGAGCCCAAGAAGGGATTCCAAGATTCCCTGACACTCACATGAATCCAAACAATGTGGCAGAGCTCTAGCTGACTGAGAAATAAGAGAAGTAGAGAGAGCAGTTTGGTGCACAAGAGTCTGGCATGAGGCAAAGACTTTGAGGAGATCAAGATTTTAATCCACAGGGTCAAAAACTGTAGCTACTGCCTCAACTCTTGCTTTAGTAATAGTTACCCAGATAAGACTTTGGTTGGGTCCAGACAACCCTGGGTTGGCTCATCTTTCAAAACTGCCACAAACCCATTGGAGCTTGATGCACCAAAACTCTAGCATTGTACCCCAAAGCAGTCTAGCACAAGAACAGCCTTGACTTATAAAATTGATCTTAACAATTTGGATTGAATATTTTCCACCACCTACTATGAATTCATGACCAACTCTGTCCCCTTTTCTTTCTAATCACCATCTATTATTCTGCCTCACTTGGCCCATTTTTCTTCAGGTATCCCCTTAGATTCTCCCAGTGGCATCCTACTTAGAGCCTTCCACCCTCTTCCAAACTTGAAGCTAGACAGCACATGGTTAAAATTCAGGTTCATTATTTTCTAAAATTGTCATAATGAAAGGCATACCATTGCTTTGTATGATTTAGATCAGTGCTGTCCAGTAGAAATATAATGTGAGGCATGTGTAATTAAAGATATTTTAGGAACCACATATAAAAAATGAAGATAAATAACTGAAATTAATGTGATAATATATTTTATTTACCTCAATATATCCAAAATATTATAATTTCAACATGTAATCAATGTGAAATATATTAACAAGATATTTACATCTTTAAACTCTGGGCTGTATCTTATACTACATCTCATCTCAATGGGGATGAGCCACATAGATTTCAAGTGCTCAGTAGCTAATGCAGGGACAGGGAAGACTGAGATGATATTACCTTACATTTCCGGGAAGATTGGGAATTCAGAGTGATGGGGATTCTTGAGTTTAGTGAGAACCTCTTAGGCTGTGTGAAGGGATTGTAAGGGGCAGAAATAGAAATGTTTGAGGATGATTGTACTAAAATCAGGTTTGTCTTTTATTTGATTCGCTTCTAAGGATTTCTACATTGTGTTTGCTGATAAAGGTTATCTGACACTGGCAAAGTAATCCCCCTGAGCCTCTGATTTCATCATATATTACATAGGAACAATAATGTAATAATAAAATATAACCGTGATACAATAAAAATAATCAGTATCCAGCTCAGTGACTGTTCAGCTTACTGGATTGTTGTGGTGAAGAAATGAGAAAGCACTAAGCAAAATTGTTCACAATATTACTTATTTATTTGGTGAAAAATTGGCCTTTTCATACTTAAAAAGACAGCTCTATTGAGGAGTACTTGACATTTGGTAAACAGCACATACTTAAAGTATACAATTTGACATACATATATACCCATGAAATCAATGAAGAAATGCACATCTCCATCACCCCCTAATTTTTTTCATGCCCCTATGTTATATATGCTCCCCTCCTCCCTGCCCCTCACCCCCCATCTCTCACCTCCAGGCCCAGGCAACCAACAGTCTGCTTTCTGCCACCATAGTCTGCATTTTCTGGAATTTTATGCACATGAAATCATACAGTGTGGAATATATATATATATATATATATATATATAAAATCAGGAAAAATATATATATTTAACAGGCTTCTTGAACTCAGCATCGCTATTTTATAATCCATCCATGTTGTTTCATGTATCAACAGCTGATTTTTTTCTTTTTAAGATTTTTATTTATTTATTTGACAGAGAGAGACACAGCGAGAGAGGAAACAAGCAGGGGGAGTGGGAGAGGGAGAAGCAGGCTCCCTGCAGAGCAGGGAGCCCGACGCAGGACTCGATCCCAGGACCCTGGGATCATGACCTGAGCCCAAAGCAGACGCTTAATGACTGAGCCACGCAGGCGCCCCCCATTGTTGATTCTTTTATAATCCATCCATGTTGTTTCATGTATCAACAGCTGATTTTTTTCTTTTTAAGATTTTTATTTATTTATTTGACAGAGAGAGACACAACGAGAGAGGGAACACAAGCAGGCTTCCCGCAGACAGGGAGACCTAGGCGGGGCTCGATCCCAGGACCCTGGGATCATGACCTGAGCCCAAAGCAGACGCTTAATGACTGAGCCACGCAGGCGCCCCCCATTGTTGTTATTTTATAATCCATCCATGTTGTTTCAGGTTGGAGTCATGACCTCTGATGGACCTGTGAACGGAAGAGGGCGATCCCAGGCCAGGGGGCCCCTGCCCTGCGCTTAGAACGTGCGTTCCCATGATTCACCGGCCGCGCCGCGCGGGGAAGCACGCAGGCCGCCTGGAGAGTCACGTGTAACCACCACCGGGAGGGTGTACGTGGCGGATGAACACAGGTAAGGGCTCCGTGTAAACGGCCAAGATTCCGGCGGGTGGTGCCCGAGTACGTCAGCTCGCTTGCCTGTTGAAACTGCCGCCTGCCATCCGGAGCGGCCGGCCTCGCGCCGCCGTGGGTCTCCCCTTGCCCTCGGCGCCCAGTGGCGGGCCGCCCGGAGAGGGAGCGATGTTTGTGGGACGGAGGCGTCCGCGGGGAGATCCGGGTCGGCCTGGGCCCCTGTGTGGGGGTGCGGGAGCCTTGCGGAGCACACCACGGGACCGCCGGGACTGGCCCACCCGCGAGGGCGGCCGGCTGGGCGCTGGTGGGGGCCCTGCGCGGCGGGGGCGGCGGAGGGGGTGCGTGGCTGCGCCGGGGGTCGCCGCCCGTGCCCAGCCGGCCGCCCAAGCCGGGGTCTGCAAGTTTGGAACAAGAGCTGCGGTGAGAGAGGGCGGCGGGGGTCCAGACTCCGCGGGCTCCCGGGCTGGCAGGCAGAGCGGCGGAGCGGAAGAATATGTTGGAGACCTTGGCGGCCATTTTGCAGAGCGAGGACGGCGTCTCCTACGCAGGGCCACCGTTTGCATGAGATGTGCCTGGGTCGGCGGAAGGGATGGGCTGGGAACTGTTGGGGGGAGTACACCAAGGACTTGGGTCGCAGCTCTGGAAGGGGCAGAAAGCCCGTGTCCTCCCGGCCCGGCAACAGCTCGTAGCGGTGCGCATGGTGCTCGGAAAGGTCGGGCCTGCGGGGAGGCGGGAGGAACGTCCCTTCCTTATCAAGCGCGGGGTGGAGAACCTGTTCCATGGACCGACCCCTGCTGGGGCTCAAACCCCCATGGTGGCTAAGTGAGTGCCTACTGCAGCAGGGGGCACCTTGTCCACCAGCCCACTGTTTCTAGAAAGGTGGGTGCTACTAAGTCATGTAGAGTATGTAGATCCTCCCAGTGCCCCTGCCCCTATTTTTATGGAAGAGAGGAGGAAATGCCTGCTGATGGCGGGTGTATATATAGATGCCTGGAAATGGGAATGAATGCAGCAGCCAAGGGGGTTGAACTCAGTGATTTTTCTGGTGACCTGTCATGAGCCCTGGTAGATTCCGCCACATTCACTAGAGAAGTGGTCTTTCATGTATGTGCAGAAAGACAGTTCTACTTCATCTTCAGTCTTGATGCCTTTCTTGCCTTACTGCTCTGACCATAACCTTAAATGTGGTGTCCACTGGAAATGGCAAAACCAGACATTTTTACCCTCTGCCTGGTTTTAGAGGGACAGTATTTGATCTTTTAGCATTAATCGTGATGCCAGTGTAGACTTTTTAATTTTTAAAATAATTATCCTTTATGAGATTGTGGAAATTCCCTTTTATTCCTAGGTTGCTGAGAGTTTAGATTGAGAATGAATGTAGTTTAAGATTTTTTTGGTTTTAATATGGTGACTTAAATTAATTGATTTTCAGATGTTAAACTGGCCTGAATTTCTGAGAGAAACCCCACTCTATCATGATATATTATCCAGTTTATAATTGTTGTATTTAATGTATTAAAATTTCGTTTAGAATTTTAGTTTAGAATCTGTGTTCATGAGGAATACTGGTCTTTGGTTTTCTTTCTTTTTTAAAATTGTGGTAAGAACACTTATCATGAGACCCTCAACAACATTTTAAGTGCACAATACAGTATTGCTAACTATAGTCACATTACACAGCACATCTCTTGAATTTATTCATCTTGCATAATTGAAATTTTATACCCATTGAACAACAACTCCCCATGGCAACCATATTCTACTGTCTGTTTCTGTAAGTTTGACTATTTAAAATACCTCATGCAGAATTTATCTTTCTGTGATTGGCTTATTTCACTTCGCATAACGTCCTCCAGGTTTATCCATTTTGTCACATACGACAGGATTTCTTTCTTTTTTAAGGCTGAATAATATTCCATTGTGTGTATACACCACATTTTCTTGATCCATTCATCTGTTGGTGGACATTTAATTTGTTTCCATGTCTTGGCTATTGTGAATAATGCTTCAGTGAACATGAGAATGCAGATATCACTTCAAGATCTAATTTCAGTTCTTTTGGATATATACCCAGAATTGGGATTGCTGGATCATATGGTAGTCCTATTTTTAATTTTTTGAAGAACCACCAAACTGTTTTCCATAATAGCTGCACCATTTTATATTCCTACCAACAGGGTACAAGGGTTCTGATTTTTCCACATAGTTGACAAAACTTATCTTTTTTTTTTTTAATAATAGCAATCCTAACAGATTTGAGGTGATACTTTATTATGGTTTTGATTTGCATTTCTCTGATGATTTGTGATGTTTGACATCTTTTCACATAACCATTGGCCATTTGTATGTCTTTAGAGAAATGTCTATATAAGTCCTTTGTCTGTAGTCCAATCAGGATTTTTTCTGTGGGTTTTTTGGTTTGTTTGTTTTGCTATTGAGTTGCAGGTTCCTTACATATTTTGATTATCAACCCTTTATCAGATATATGGTTTGCAAATATTTTCTCTCATTCCATGGGTTGCCCTTTCACTCTGTTGTTTCCTTTGCTGTGCAAAAGCTTTTCAGTTTGATATAGTCCTACTGGTCTATTTTTGCTTTTTTGGTTTGTGCTTTGGTGTCCTATCCAGGAAATCATTGCCAAGACCAATGTCAAGAAGCTTTCCTTTTGATTATGGGCACAATTCCCAGCCCAGTGTGAGCACTGAGTAATGTTCCCTCTAATTTTTTCAGGTGGTTATTTCCTGGGCCTCAGGTAGATCCATCACATCATCTGTTAATCAGTACTTTGATAAATATTCAAGTATGTCCCTCTGCAGTTCTCTGGAGTCCTAGCTGGTCCTCTGTCTTGTCAACTCAATTTGCCTTGTTCTTCCCAGAGTTTCAATTCTGTCTTCTCAATTCAGAGAACCTGCTGGGGGCGCCTGAGTGGCTCAGTTGGTTGGGCGTCTTCAGCTCAAGTCATGATCCCAGGGTCCTGGGATTGAGGCCTCTGTCATGCTCCTTGCTCAGTAGGGAGCCTGCTTGTCTCCCTGCCCCGCCCCTGATGCTCTCTCTCTTTCTCAAATAAATAAACACAATCTTTAAAAACAACAACAGGGCGCCTGGGTGGCTCAGTTGGTTAAGCGACTGCCTTCAGCTCAGGTCATGATCCTGGAGTCCCAGGATCGAGTCCCACATCGGGCTCCCTGCTCAGCGGGGAGTCTGCTTCTCCCTCTGACCCTCCTCCCTCTCATGCTCTCTCTCTCAAATAAATAAAATCTTAAAAAAAAAAAAAAATTTAAAAACAACAACAAAGAAATCAGAGCTTCATCCTCTATAATGTTGACTCTAAAAGATGACCCTTCCAGGGATATGACTTGGTCTCTATTTTATGTTTTTTCATTAGTAACAATAGCTATGGGACTCCAGAGTCTCTAGGCCTTTGTTTTCTCATCGACAATATGGGGACAATTGTAGTAGATCATTAGAGGATTCATAGTGAGGATTAAATGACAGTATCTGCAGTGCTGTTAGCTTTGTACCTGACACATAGAAGTGCTCAATAAAGATTAGGAGATCATTAATCTTTAAAGATACTCCCAGTTCTCGTACCACTGTTGAATTTGCAAAATGATCCACATTTATCTTACTCCCTGCCTTGACCTGTCATCACACACGTGCGCGTGCATACACACACACACACACACACACACACACACACACATACTCTTCTTTTCTGTAGACTTAAGAGTAACTACTTTGTTTGGTTTGTCTTAATGGTGATATTTTAGTTAGAAGCATCCAATTTCAGAGTTGGATGTGCACTTCATGACCATTTTACCCAATATCCTCCAATATCCATATTCTTCAAAGAAGTAAAGTGCAGTTTGGAGATATGAAGTCATCTGCCCAAGATAATGGAGTTGGTAGTGGTGTAACTGAGTCTCCAGATTTTCCATCCAGGTGTTTTCTCCACAAAACAATACTACCCCTCTTTCTCGTTCTCTAGTCTTCTCTCAATTCTGGTAAATACTTTGACATTCACAAATAGGAATTTCACAAAACATTACAGACCCACTTATACCATAGTTCTATATAAGATTTTAAATTTTCTTTTCCCTTTTTATATTGGAGTGTGTGTGTGTGTTGGGGTGAGGATGAGGGTGGGGAAATGGGAAAATCTAACCAGACTCACTATAAACCAAATTAGCTGTCACAAAAGAAAATCATGCACTGGCAGGTTTAAGAGATCCCCAAGTCCATATTCATTTTATAGCTGATAAAGTTGTGACTTTGAGAATTCAACTGATGGGTCTTAGTTTGATATTTGGTTAAGCTAAATTTTGGGTAAGCTAAAATTTAACATTCTGTTAAACACAGTGTCTTTTCAATAGTTTGCAACAGCTTCCAGGATAGTGAACATGGATGGTTATTAATGTAGTGTGGTACAACTGAGTAAAAATTCCCATAATTTCTTCAAATGATACTTTTGGAGAAAATAAGAGCTCCATATAACTTTAAATATTAACACTCTTGGTTATTTACACTACCTTTTTTCTCCCTTTTACTTTAAACATATATAAACAACAACAAAAAGTAGTTCTTAAGCTTAAGCATTATGGTGGTAGTATAAAAACATATTTAAAGCTTGTTCACTTTGAGCATAATCACTTTTTAATCTTTTAGGTCATAACCACCAATTGAACACACATTATTTGAAATCTTTATTTTAAAAACACAATGAGTTTGCTGAAACAAAAATACTTCATAAGTAATAAAATACTTTATGCATTAAAAAAAGAGTGCACATAAAAAAATATTTAGAATTAGATTTTGGCTTTAGGCGATCTTTGTAAATGAGACACAATTTTTATAACTTTATAAATATCTTTACAACATCCAAATTATCTTGCAATAGAAGTATGAATTTTATTACATCACAAATGTATATTATGTGAATGCAAAATTGGATGCTGTTAAATCCTAGACAGTCTGATCTTTAGAATGATTATGTGATTGAAA